AAATAAATTTCTGGTTAAACGCATATCACTTTTTTATCTTTTAAAATTATTTTTCTTAAAATTATTTTAAAAGATATTTTTAATTATTCGATCTACCTAGCCTAAAGGTCGATGATAACTCCAAATCTATTTATTTGTTCCTTATTTTAAAACCCAATCTTTTCTAAAATTAAATTAGATTGCTCTCCGCTATAACCCAAAAAACTTAAGGACCATTTCGATAAGAAGAATCTTATAAGTCTAATTTTAACAACTAGTCTAAAAGCCACTTTTGTGTTAGCTCTCTTCCCTCGTTAGCACTGTTAAACTGAACCCCATTGTTGGAGCAGCAAAATATAACAAAGAATAAAAGGAGGTGAAAATATTTTTTCACAACTCAACCAAAAACAAATAAGTCCACTACGGCCATAACTTTCTACTATTCTCTTTCTAGATGTTCACTTGATTAAATTACATTTTTTTGTTTGAAAATTCTAAAACCCCATTGTTGGAGCAGCTAGCGAAGCGATATTAGTCGTATAATTAGAGCTAAGGGTGATCCCTGTGAAAAGAAGCACGCTAGAAACCTATTTTAACGTGCGTTATTCATATACAATTTGATCAGCTGGCCTAAAAACAACTCCGACCTAACACTTTCTTTTCCCTCATTTATATGGCTACCCAACCCGAAGCAGAAGAGAAGGTTACAGAGTTACAGATTGAAAGGATCAGGACTATTTGTGACAAGTTTTGAGCGTTTTCTGTATAATTATTTGTAACATAAATATAAAATTACAAAAGAGATAACAAATATTGTGGTTACCTGAGAAAGGTGAACGATCGCCTTAATAATTGTCGGCGATGAAAAGAAGTGATGATATTTGGTCGGACAATTTTAAGTGTGAGGACTTAGGAGCTTTGAAGGCTGAAATCAGGATTGTAAAATAACTTGTCCATTTTTATTTGGTAAGTTGTTTTATGGGGAAAATCTATTTTACTTTGACTGATGAATTTTCCTTTAATCAAGTAAGGGAAAATTAGGAAAACATCCAAATAAACAGACCCTAAATTCAACCGACTAATCATATACATAGAATCTTTAATGCTCTTAAAGTGGATTCATCCATTTATGACCCTCGGAACAGTTTAAAAAATAAATATATATTATCTTATAATCACACCAAACTATTAAGAAAAAACATCATAAAAAAATAAATTTATTCTTTAAAATCAAATTTTTATGATTCTTGAAACGAAACTTATTAAAATAAGATCAAGTTTTAAAAATCCTTTAGATTGATTTTCAACTAAATCTCAGACAAGTAACTAAAATATAAGGATTTAATCTTAAATTTCAACAAGATAACAAAATTATAATAAGAATTAGATCTTAATATATATTTCCAACAATATATATATATATATATATATATATATATATATATATATATATATATATATATATATATATTTTGTTTCCTATTCTAATCATGATTAAACATCTATAATTTCAAAAATAAATAATCATTGTTTCTGCATAAACTCCAACATTAATCATTTCCGATATCAGTTAACCAACACGAGAAAAAGAACCAAAGAAATGTAAATAAATAAAGATTTTAAGACATCTTTTCTTTTTGGTTAATCAAAGTGAGGATTGCTTGTTTGTGCATTCGATGATGTCGGAATTTTGTCGCAGCATGCACGTGCGGTGGGACTCATTGTTGATTTAATTTTCTAGAAGACAATTATAATACCTTAATTATAGTATTTTGTTTTGATTTTTCTTTATGATATTAATTGAAAAAATAATTAAGTAAACTATCTTTTAGTAGTCTAAAATGATCATAAGATAATATCTATTTGAAAATCTCTTAATCATTTGATAATGAATATTTATACATCTCTTGTAAATGTTGTTCTCAAATATGAAACTTCAAAAAATAACAATAATTTCTTTAATCATTAGGATAGTTTAATTCGTACTAAACTTCCATTGGACTCCATGGACACGTTTTTAATCTTTAAGAGACCAAAAGGAAGCTTTATAGCTCAGGAATAATTTAGATGCAATGAATTGAGGGTGAAAAGGGGAAATCATTGGGAAGAAGAAAAGAACAAAATGCTCGGGTTCACACTTATCACAATGTGAAATGAAGAAAGGGCATAACATTTCTTGCAAAATCAAAGGTAAAGCATAGACAATGAATGATTTCAAATGTACCAACCTTATGCTTATAATTAGGCAACTTTGTTCCCGTCTTTTAAAAGAAACAACCAAAAATCATATATATAATACTAGTTAACTATTTCCACACATTCAATTATCTTAAAGATATAAAAATAAAAATCATATATTGATTGTAAAAAATCATGCATCATATATAAATATATATTGTTAATAACATAGTATATGAATTATTGATCAATCAATTCCTTTTTTTTCTAAAAATTGATAATAAAATACGATTAATATTTTTTATCTATTATTTAAAACTTAACACTCTCTCTCTCAATTACTGAGAGAAACCAATGCGGGTGGAATCAAAAGGGCACTAAAGGCATCATCGTCTCAACATACCCAACAATATGATTTGCACTGACATAACCATGGTTAATTAGAATTTAATCAGGCAGTATTATCCCCTTTGGAGTAATTTAATTAATTAATTAAGCATAGGATGTGATGGCAGCGCAATCACCTCGAACTTGGGTTTTGGATTTCCCACAAGATCCACAATAATTTTGCAAATTAAACAAACAATCCCAAAATCTTGTCTTATTTAACAAATGCTAATTATAAAAAATATAATTTAGTTAATTAAAACAAAGTGAAATTCTGTCCAAATCGCAGGAATTCAGGAAAGGATTTTCTAATCTGTCTCAAATCAACCAGCCCACCTAGTTCCATCGATACTAAGTTCACGGTACAAAGTTTTTGCAACTTAAGTAATATAAAAGATTTGGGATGTTATTGGAACGTTCAAAAGCATAAGATCAATTTAGAATAATGGTCATAGATTGAGGATGAATTTAGAATGTTCAAAAGTTAGTTTAAAATTCGAGTCATAAGAATCTTCAAAAGTTTAGGGACCAATTTAAAATGAGGATTATGGTTTGAGGATGTATGGTTGAATTAATTCAATTTATTTAACATATGTTTAAATTTGGAGGACTTGAAATGTCGTTAGACTAAAAAAATTGTCGCCGAATATAAGTGAATTCACACATGGTAATTGGTATAGAAGCATAAATTGTATATTATTTAGTATTGCTCGGAAATTACAATAATTAATGAAAGAAAGAAGGTTGCTAAGCCTCCCTAATTTGATTGAAATAGATAATCAGTTAAGAAAATTAAAATCAAATAAAAGAGTAGCTTTTATTTATGCATTCATTTTTTACTTAAGATGTCGGTGGGACAATGTGGATGAATAATGGCATGCAATTGCAATTAAAATTTAAAAATAATACACGTTTTTTTTATAACTATCACTATTTAATTTATTAATTAATTAATCCTAATCAAATACTGCAAAGACAAATATGATATTTCCAACTTAATTTGCTCAATTCACAAACGTCAGAATTTAAACATTTGACCTTACTTAAAGAATCTAGTGTCTCATCCTATTAGATAAACTAGTTGTTGATAATAAAACAAAATTCTTTAGTTTGAGTTTGATAATAAAATTGACCATGAACTATAGATCTTCTCTTATTTCGGGGTTCATTTAAAAAAAATAAGTAGAAAAAACTTATTTACCAAATTTATAGTCAAATTATAAACTACAAATATAAAAATAAACAAACTATATTTCATACACTAACAGTGAAAAGGCTATTTCATAAGATGGATTATGATATTGTCATATGTCCTGGGAGTTAAGATTGTATTTTTAGGATTTATGATTTTATAAAAAAAAGTTGAATAATTTGAAGTAAGTATAATGTAGTATTACTTAAATATAATTCTTAATCATTTGTCATTAAATGTTCATATCTCTGGTATTTTTGGTGTTCGAATCCGGGACCTCAAGAAATAACAACAATTCCCTTACCACTGAAGTCGCTCGATTCGTATTATGACTTTATTACATCTAAATACAATTTAGGGTTTAATTTCTAAATTTAAAAATTAAAGTTTAAAATTATTTACATATGTCGTGATGACGTACAAACGACATAATTGTGAAATATTTCTTACTATTGATGAATAAAATAATAAATAAAATCAAATTATTTTTGTATTTTTTTAAAATAAACTTTTAATGTATAATATTTTTTGAATAAAGGTAATCGTATGATGAAGTTGAGAGTGTTTTATTTTTCCAGTAGGTTCATTGTGGGCCAAGAGAATACAGGCATCATGGGAAGAAGGTTTGGGTGACAACATGTAAAAGAGAGTGGAATTTGAGTATATTGGTTAAAGTATTAATTTATTATTGCTGTAGTACTTGTTTGTTTTTATGTTTAGACAAATTTACACATATTTTATAAATAATATTATTGAAATTTAAATTATCAAATAAAATATATCATCTTATATTAATTAGAATTACTTCTTAAACTCAATAATAAGTTTATTATAGACTAAAATTTTACTTCTTAAATTCAATAATGAGTTTATTATAGATTAAAATTTATTGAGTGATCTTAATGGTTAATGAGAGTGTTGTTATCTTTTGAGATTTTGAGTTCGAACATTTGCGTTAACAATGTGTATATATTGTCAATAATTAAGAAATATTATAAATAAATATTACATTCTAATCAACTTATACTATTTAAAAATAATGTTATAGATTAATATGGTGGAAATATTTTTTTATTAAAAAATTACAATTATTTTAATAAATTTAATAATTTATCAAAATAATAATCGTCGACTAACCTAAGGAAAGTATGGGATGACACGTTTAATACCAATTATATCCCTAAATTTTCATTTCCTTTCGTTTTCACCCCTTATTTTCTTACATATACCCCTCATGTGCTAAATCGCATACCCTGCTTATGAGTTTGCCATCTCTCTTCGTTTATGTTCGAAAAAAATAAAAGGAGATAAGGAGAAAAAAGCCTTTTGTTCATGGCTATCTTCGTTCACTATCTTTTCATTATTCTCATCTCCACCGTCATCTCCGTCGTCTCCTTCCTCCTCCACCGTTCTAGGCGTCTCCGGAGCCTCCGTCTACCACCGGGAAACTTGGGTTTACCTTTCATCGGGGAGACCTTACAGCTTATATCTGCTTACAAGACCGAGAACCCCGAGCCGTTCATCGACGAAAGGGTGAAACGTTACGGTTCGGTCTTCACGACTCATATTTTCGGCGAACCGACTGTCTTTTCAGCTGATCCGGAGACGAACCGGTTCATCTTACAAAACGAAGGGAGGCTGTTCGAGTCTAGTTACCCCGGTTCGATCTCGAATTTGCTTGGGAAACACTCGCTGCTATTGATGAAAGGCAACCTTCACAAAAGAATGCATTCTTTGACCATGAGTTCCGTCAGCTATTCAATTATCAAAGATCAACTCTTGGTCGATATAGACCGGTTAATCCGGATCAACTTGGATTCCTGGACGGACCGTGTCCTTCTCATGGAAGAAGCCAAGAAGGTAAAATGAATAAATAAATAGAATCAAATATCTAAATATTTGTCGGACTGAGTTCACTCAGTAATGAATCGTTCGAGTTCGGTTGGAGATGATCAACGTGGGCGTTGGTGACTCTGACTCGGAATCATTTCAATGTCACGCTGGTGATTATTAATGTATTATTAGGGTAAACTATGCATTTAATACATAAACTATCTATTTTTATTCGTTTTAGTATTAATTTTTTTCAAAATCATATTTAACGTTTAGTTTTTGTTTTATTTTGATACTCGTCGTTAAAAACTTAATGTGTTTAGTACCTGAACTATAAGTTTTGATCCGTTTAAGTACTTAAACTTTTATTTTTTTTTCGAAACTCAACATTGAATTTTGAACGAGATATTAAAATGAAACAAAAACTAAATTTTAAGTATGATTTTGAAAAAAATGAAAGTTTAAGTACTAAAATAAACAAAAAACGATAGTCTAGGTACTAATATATAATTTACCCTTATTATTATTAATCACAAAAATCTCAAAATAAAATCTTAGAATCAAATTATTTTAAATTTTTTTCATCTATATGATTCAAATTCAATATGCTATTTTTCCCTTAAGTGGTTTTAGTGATTAATTTTTTTTATATTTTAATAATCGAAATTTAAATAATGTAATTTACATATGTTAAATTTTGATTTTTAAAACAAATATTAGTTAAATTTATTGAATTTGTTATTGTGATAATTATATTTTTATATTTATTTATTATTATTTTATTTTTTATAGATAACTTTTGAGTTAACGATAAAACAACTAATGGGCATTGATCCCGGTGAATGGAGTGAAAGTTTGAGAAAACAATACGTTCTTGTTATTGAAGGCTTCTTCACCATCCCTTTACCTTTAATTTCGATCACCTATCGTCGTGCAATCAAAGTAAGTACTAGCTTCATTTCTATTGAAATATGTAGGGATGGATTGAAGGTATTGAAATATAGTTGCATTTTTTAAAAATTTAAATTATCTTATATCTCAAGTATTCTTTTTATATTTTTATTAATTATCTAATTTCGCGTTCCTAAATTTCTAATATAACTTTTACAATTCGTACCTCTAATATAAATTTCTACTTTTGTTTGAGATATCATTGATAGTTTAATTAATTGATATATATTGTTATTGCATCAAATATAAATTTAGAAACGTTTATACTTAAAACGATATTTATTGGGTGTTTTTTTGAAGGCAAGAAGGAAAGTGGCAGAGGAACTGGGGAAGATAGTGAGGGAAAGAAGAGAAGGGTATGAAAGAGGTGAGAGGAAGAGTGATATGTTGGGAGGATTATTAGGGCACGAGGGAATTTCAAACGAGGAAATCGTGGATTTCATGGTGGCTTTGCTTGTTGCTGGCTATGAGACTACTTCAACTATCATGACACTTGCTGTCAAATTCTTGACCCAAACCCCTCTTTCTTTGGCTCAACTCAAGGTACATTTATCCTCTTTAATTCTATATATATATATATATATATATTTCGATATATATATTTATATAATTATTGTCCATCTATGTCCGTTCAATTAATTGATCAATCTATATTTGAAAGTTATAAGTGTAATATGGAGACACCTTTTAACACAATTTATTTCATTTACATAAGTTAAAATTTAAACTTTAATAACTCATTTTATTAGAATAATTAGTTGTTAGTTTATTTCTGATATTTTGATTAGGATTTAAATATTAAAATTTATTATTATATATTTAATGTTGAAGGTTTTAATGTTGTCGGTCAAAAGTAGGGGCAAAGAGTACAAAGCAGAACATAAAAGTCAAAGTAGGAACTGGAATTTGCCTAACCGGACATAATGATGACTGTCCCAATTGCACGCCTTAACCTGTAATAAATAAATTTAAAATAAAAGAGAAAACTTTACCAATTGTCGAAATCATCTTGCTGTCTTTCATGAAATGCCCATAGAGTCCTTTCCCGGCACCGGAAATTTCAAGGGAATTTTTGTCATTGGGATTTAGATTTTTAATTGTATGCGATAGGGTGTATGACTATGATTTTCTTTTAACGCCACATCTTTCATGTGAATTATAAATTTGTTAGAATTTTAAACACGAGACTTGTTTAATTTGGCAGGAAGAGTACGAGGAGATTAGGGAGAAGAAAAGCGAGTGGGAAGCTCTTGAATGGAGAGATTATAAGTCAATGTCATTCACTCACTGTGTAAGTAAATTCATTGTCCTAAACAAATTGCCGTGACAGTCCAGCAATGGCTTAAACCTAGATCTTTGCCCTTCTTGTTTAATCCATGATTCCCAATAATGTATTTCAGGTTATCAACGAGACCTTGCGAGTCGCAAACATTATCAGTGGAGTTTTCAGACGAACAATAACCGACGTCAACATAAAAGGTCAGAAAATATACATTTCTTTTTATAAAAGAGTGACCATATGAGGCTCATTTTTGAGTGCTTACCAATGATTAGGTTACACAATTCCCAAGGATTGGAAGGTTTTCGCATCGTTTCGAGCCGTCCATCTTGATCATGATCATTTTGAAGACGCTCGTACTTTCAATCCGTGGAGATGGCAGGTACAATCTAAATAGCAGTCGCAATGAAACAATTATATTTTGTGGTTTCGGTTTTCACTGTCGTCGATATTCGTCGAAGAAAAATATTTTTTACGTATTTGCCTGGAATGAATTTGGACAGAATGTCCAGGGGACGAGCTGTTCCGGGAATTTTTACACGCCGTTCGGAGGAGGACCTCGGTTGTGCCCTGGATATGAGCTTGCTAGAGTTGAAATCTCTGTATTCTTACACCACCTTGTAACTCAATTCAGGTATTAATATTTTTATTGATATTAATGGTACTATCAACTATGATAGAATTAAGCTGAATATGAGTCCAATTCGAATGTATAGTTCAGGAGCACAAGTTTAACTCGTTTTATTTCTAAATCAGTTGGGTACCTGCTGAAGAAGATAAGCTAGTTTTCTTCCCCACGACGAGAACACAAAAACGATACCCCATCAATCTGCAGCGTCGATGCTAATTTAACTTGTCCGAATCTGATGGTGAGGGATAAAAGTATGTGTAGGAAAGCAAGGGTTGTCAGAGGATGGAATATCCGATTGAGGAAGCCATTGTTTCTCTTCGAATTACCGAAAGATGGAGGAGAAGTCCCTAACGTTGAGGATACGGTCGACTAGAGGAGGAGAGACGATCATCAGGGGTCGAACAGTCTTTAGGAATATAAAACGAAAGAGGAAGAGAGAACAAAGTTTGAAAAACAGAAATCATTGTCTCTCTACTATGTATTTGATTGACATTTTTGTAAAAAAAAAAACATATATTTCTAATGTAACTATCGGTTAAGTTTTAATTTAGTAACTTCTGCATGCAAAAGCTTTAACTAGGACACAAAAGGGTATATCATAATTCTTTCATCTATCAATAATTGTGTGCATTACATGATTAAAGTGAAGAAGTAAATTATTATATCGGCAAGATTGTTACAATAGGACTCGCGGTATAATTTAAGTAATATCTTTTAATTTCGATTTAAGAATTTAAGGTGAAAAAAAAAAGAGTAATTCAAACATTACATTATATGTCGAAAAGGTATTTGACCCATTTATGTTATCCGAATTTGGATATCGAAAAGGCCTTTGGCCCATTCCTTTTTAATAAAATATTTACATGTGTTACACTGTACACTCATTGAGGTATGTTTTATAATTACCTCAATTTATATATATACACACACATATGCTGCGTGTGATCTTTGTATTTCATGCCACAGACTGGTTTTTTGGTTAAATCTGCAGAAAAGAAGATGAGTTAATCATCTGAAGCTTCATGGCTACCACTTTTTCTATAAAATATCAAATGGAGACTGATTACAAGAAATCTGATTTTTTTAGACTAGTTAAATCTATTCGAGTCGGAAAAAATCATTTTATTTTAAATCGAATATCATATAAAAATCTTAAATCATAATCCGAGACGAGAAATATAATTCATATATTACCTGTAATCCAGCAAAAACAAAAGGGGAGAAGAGTAGAATTTTCATTGTTAGTAGTATTGCATCTACTTGGCTCTTTCTTGAGGGAGAATCTTTTGGTACCTTGGAAACCCATTCTGTTCAAAGTTTCAAAATAACCTTCATTAATTAGAATGAGAAATATAATTTAAAACGCTTCAATTTTAAGGGTAATCCGAATTCCAATAAGTTCCATGTAAAAATATAGAGATAGGAAGCTTACAGCCTCGATGTCAATTTTGTAGACAAGTAGCTTCCTTCTTTCTCTGCAGCTTGTCCTATACGCCACGATTACGTGTGCAATTGCCAGAGCCCATGAAGAGATGAAGAGAGCAGCTTCCGTGGCTGTAACATACCCTTCTCTAGGAATTCTCCAACTCAACATCAACGAAGCTTTTAATGAAACAAAAACCAATGATGAAATCGAACAGATCATCGTGATACCCAGGTATGGTCCCCTCGAAAGGTTTGGCCCATCACAAAGACTGTAAACACCTGCAGGAAAAATATCCAAATTAACTCCAACTATTTATTAAAATTGTTATTTTAATATCGTGCTAGTATTGTTATTATAAGGTGAAAAGCTTTCACTTTTCCCTTTATTATTTTTTCTCCGATATTTTGATCCTATTGTTTCATTTCAAGGTAAAAGATTTTTTTTAAATTAATAATTTATTAACTAACTATTACATTAAAGGTTAAAAGAGCCCAATATTTAATAAAATAATCGTTTCACAATTATTACTTCATTTTAAGATAAAAATATACTTATTTTAAAGCGTTAATAGTTTGTTACTTAACGATTTTTATATATAATTTATTTTATATAAAAAAATTTATCCTAAAATAAAATATTAGACCAAAATAATATATTAAAAATATAGACTAAAATTACTATTTAATTAAGCATGTAAACAAAACAAATAAGATCTAGGATAAATAACTAGTTTAATATTTAAATTATCAGTTTTGATCGTTTCATTACTTAAACTTTTAATTTTTTCAAAATCAAACTTAATATTTAGTCTTTGTTATATTTTAGTACTCATTTTTTAAAACTTATTAATAATTAAACTATCCGTTTTAGTACATAAATTTTCAATTTTTTAAAATTTAACGCTAAATTTTTAATGGGTATTAAAAAAGAAATAAAATCTAAACATTTCAAATTATTTTAAAAAAAATTAAGAGTATAAGTACTAAACATATCAAAATTAAAAGTTTGGGATTTAGGTATTAAACAGTAGCTTACCCTAAAATCTATTAATCAAACCTAAAAAACTGGGTTTTTGTAGGCAGGGAGGACATGAATCTTTTGTTGAGGATTAAGCCTAAATTGCTTGATTAATGATTCAACTAAATCATATTCAATCTGAACAACCTAGAAAAGAAAATACGATTGGGATAAGATTAACTCACAGATTATGACGGCTGATCTGATGATTGATATGATCGGAATATCAATAAGAGAAGATCTAAAATCATAATTATCAAAATACGAACTAAGGTTGTTCAACGATAAGTAGGAAGGAGAAATCGAAGCAGAGAGCAAAGCAGAAGGCAATATCGCATCGGCAAGAACAAGAAAAACCGGCGCAGAAAACACAAGAAACGAAATCGCCATTGTTATCAAGAAAAACATAGTCATGAAAACCCTCCAAATCCTTCTGGATTTTTCTTCCTTTGAGAAACCCATTTTTTTAAAAGAAAATTTCAGAGATTTTATGTACAGAGAAGAAGGTTTGAAAATTTGGGAGATAGAGGAAGGGAGTTCTAAGCTTTAAAAATGAAATGAAATGGGAGTTGAAGTGTGGAGGAAGGTTTCAAATTGTTTGACTGTGGATTTTGGCCTTTGTGACGACAGTGATGACAATTGACAAAGATATTAGGTGGGGGCGGGGATTGATAAACGACTGACCCCGGCTCTAATTATCGCTTCGGTCCGATAAGTTTATTTCGATTCGGATTAGATAATTTTTTTAATAAATTATTTGAATAATCATTCATTTTAATTTAACTATTAATGGATCATTTAAATTATTTAATTTATATTTATTAAGTTATTTGTTGTTAAATAAAAATTGGTATGACAATTAAATAAATTTATATAACTATATATTTGATCCATATTACTTACATATTATATTGATTTCTAATTTTAAAAATTTTGATAACGGAGGTGGATTAAACTTGGAGACATTAGGGTTTAAGAGCACTAACCCTTAAATCAAGTTTGATCCGCATTTGGTACTTAATTTTTTATCCAATTAAAAAGTGACATGTGTTATCATATAAATAGATGATTAAATTCATGGAATTAAAATTAGAATCAAATTAATATAATATATAAATAACGATGATCAAATTTATAATTATATAAATTTGTTCAACTGTCATGTTAGCATTTTTGTTAATTATATAATTTTAATTGATATAATTTAAATAATTAAGTGATTTGATTAAAAAATTAATAAATCAATGCTTTAAATAGAACTTATCCATAGTTAAGTGACTATTTTGTAGACGATATATTATTTATATTATTGAACTTTTAATAAATTTAATTCTAATACATAACATTTATATATAAACAATAATTTTATCAATGAGAAGGTATAACCAAAACGATATTGTTTTGAAACATTATAAAAATCGAATTTCTTTTATTTTTTTTCTTTTTTTCCGCTCTTATTTATTTAACCTATAATTTATTTGGGCGGACAAATCAAACGACTTCAGTGTTTAAATGGATAGTTATTATTTATATAGATCTCGAGTTTGAGCATGATATTTATAAGATTGTTTGTGTTCACTCCCAAATAATTGAGAGTTTTTCGAATAAATATTATCTTATAACCACTTACTAATAAAAATATATAATCTAATCACGCCAACCGATATCGAGGGCCACGGTTATGGTCGATAATTTTACAAATACGTATCTTTTCATTTATTTTTCATAAATTCAAATTTAAACTTAGTTTTTAAAAATCATTAGCATCAAATGAAACATATTATGTGTCAAATTAATATATTCAGATTGTAGGCTCATCAATAAATAATCAAATACGTACGTCACGACTTGTAAAGGTCTACGAAGCAGCCTTTTTCTTTATTTGTTAAATGATTTGGTTTTATATGTTTGGATAATTAAGAAGATGTAATGCTTATTGGACAAGTAGTCTAAAGCCGCCTATTTTGTCAAATTTCACCAAAACTATGGCACATTTTCTAGATGACAAACACATTGATCATGAGGCCTAGTATATATAGAGAGAGGACTCTTCTTAGGCGTAGGATAATTAAGAATTTTAAAAAAAAAATAGAATGATATTATTTATTATTATAATATGATAAAAATAAATTTAAATAATACAACGATTAAACTAAGTAAATCTTCCTCAGCTATAAATGAATTCATGTTTTCTTATATATAATTATGATAATAATAATATCGTACGAATCAAATGATTTTAGTGATTAAAAGTTTTGTTATTAGTTAGTGAGGTCTTAGGTTCAAGTACGTGTATTAGGAGTATGATCATTCGTTGTCGAATGGTCAAGAGTCTATGTACAGATATTATATTGTATTCACTCGGATTTATCAAAAAAAATTATGATAATGATATCAATCAAATTTAGACTCAATCAATATAATAAAAATAAATTTTAATTTTGTATTTTAAGTCTTTGTCATACATTTTAATGTAAAAATAGCATATAATCCTCAAGTATATTGTCTTAAAAAACAAATACATTTATGTCGAGCATATATTTATATATGTGATATTCACATTATTAGAATTTAGATAATAGGGCAATTATATTTATTGACATCTAACTTTGATAGTTATGTGTAATTTTCATTTTCTTACAATTGGCTATTTTTATGGTAAAATTAGGGGTTTAACTTTTTGTAATAGTGTAATTAGGTATCGAGTTCTTAATGGCCTAATTAGGTACCTAATTTTTATTTTTTTATGTAATTAAGTTTTTGATATTTTTGAATTTTACATATTTATATTTAAAATTTTAACAGCTATCTTTTGAATAATTTATTTTATCTGGAACAAGTACAAGGTAGTATATGTTCAAATATGACATTTGAACTATTTGATATTGAACACTCATATCTTTGACATTTATGGTACTCAAACCCGAAACTTTAATAAATAATAGCAACTCCTTTACCTCCAAGATGATTTGGTTCATGTCTAATTTAAAAAATTATTAGATACATCATTACTCAAAAATTATCATCTTTACCTCAACAATATATTTTTTATTTTTTAATATTTAAAAGGGTATTTTACTATTTTTGACGTAAGAAATAACGTGGCAAGTTTGAAATGGACTCGAAACAAATAAACTAAGTAAATTAGTTTCAAATATATTTTAAAAAAATTAACCAAGATATTTCATTTATCGAAAGTCGTATTAACAAATGTTTTACTAGTTACAAACTGTATAAATACAGCCATGACTATCATAAATAAAATATAACAATGATCACTTAGTGATAGCCAACAGAAAAAGTGATCTCCCCTTAACGATAATCTCTTCCGATACATATACACGATAACTAACGAATCATCTTGTACAAACGAACAGAGGAACCATACATCGGGAACGCAACCAACCATGGATTCTTATAAAACAGTAGACCGAGAAGAAAACCAAATTTAAAAACTTACACCGAAAATCCACAAACACCAGTAGGCATAATACCCTTTATCAAAAAGGGGCCAAAAGAAATATTATTATTAAACTAAGTTAAATCTAACAATGAAAAACTAATAAAATAAAGAACGAACGAGGAAAAAAAACAGAAGTACGTGGAGGTGGCCGTGAACGAGCACCACTGCTACTCAAAATAAGACTTTGGAAAACCGTCGTTGCAAAATATAAACCGCTGCAGAGAAAACTTTGTGAGTGGAGAGTGGGAGTTAGAAATGATGAATCTTATTTTTGGGTTTTGGTCCATGCTACTTGCTAAGTGATAACATGGAGCATTTTTCAAACCTGCTCTTGAAAAAAAAACTACTATTAATACATGTTAGTGTCGTGTTATAAATTATCCTATTCTATAAATTTTAGGTCGAATGATATTTCTGTTTTCCAACTTTTATTTTATATTAAATTAAATCAATTAGAAGAAAAAAAAACATTAATTTTATATATTTTAAATGCCATATATACATGTATATATATATTATGATGAAATGGCAGTCGCCACATCCAATCATTTAAATCATTAGTGTATATAGTTAACAATCTTTCATTTATATGATTAAAATTTTTCAATTGATTCTTTGTTTCTTTTTTAGATCGTGAGTTCAATATGTATTACGAATTTTTTTTTTCTTCTCCTTTCAATGTTTTTTCAAAACAATTTAATGTGTGAGCTTTAACATCGATAATATCAAAATCCCTAATAAACATACAAAATGTTAAAATTTAAAATCATTAGATCATTTGGTGCTAACATCAAATTAATCTCAATTCGATAACTTATATATATGTTGTTTTATAAACTAAAATTTTTGTTACAGTATTTGATGAGTCACTAGGGTTACATGATAACTTCTACCCAAAATCATATTCCTCCGCATTACCTGTATGAAAAAGTTGTTAAACAATTTGTACCCTTTCTGAAAGTTATCATGTAACTGGGACGATTTCTACAAAGTAACATAATAAAGACTATAATTCAAAAAACAATATCTACTGCAACTTATATAATAAATTTTTTTCTCACCCAAACAATGTTGTCGAAATATCTCAAATAAATTAATAATTCAACTCGTTTAATGAAAAATAGGGTAAATAACACAATTAGCCATCCAACTATAAAAATTTTCACTTTGGTCACTGAAAAGGATTTTTTTTGCAAAGAAGTCATCAAAATTAAGTTTCATCTTCATTTTCTCACTTGTTTATATATAAAAAAAAAAAACTTTCATTTTAATCACCCATGACTAATTCCGTTAGTGGCATCTGTTCTCGTATTATGGTGATGCATGCGTGTTACCACTTAATTGATTGGAAATTTATGAAAAATGAAAAAAAAATCTTTAAGGGTTGGACTAAGGCCAAGTCCCTTGCAAAATATATGAACACATGTTACTAACAGAATTTAATCATGAGTGACAAATGAAAATTATTTTATAATTGAGCGACTAAAATGAAACTATAACCTAACCTTGGTGATTTGTCTGCAAAATATTTTGTTTTATGATTAAAATGTATTTTTTTATAGTTGAGTGACCAAATATAACATAGTTTATCCTATATTTATTGGATAAATTACACCAAGTGATAAAAGATCACACTGATTTGACCTTGGGCTTCATTATTATTTATTGCTGGAGGATTTTAGGCATTTGATGCACACGTCTTACACACGGTAAGAGATAGAATAATGCTATAATATTGAAAAGAATATATAATATGGCATGATATGCTTTTCTAGAAAACAAGGGGGGATCTTGCTTGCATGGTACTTGCACTTTAGAATTTGCAATTTATTTTTAATATTTATTTTATTATTAAAATTTTGGATAAAGTATACATATAGTCATTAAATCGTCTTGAAATATATTTTTGGTTATTAGAGTTTTAAAATTTATAAAATGATTATAAAATTTATCGAATTATTGTAAAATAATCATTACTTGATATAAAATTATGATAAATTTCTGTAAGTTTAAGGACTATTTTATACTAATTTGATAAGTTTTAAAGACTATTTTGTAATAATTTGATAAGTTTAATGACTATTTTATAATAATTTAATGATCATTTTATAATTTTTTGAAACTTTAATGGACAAAAAGACCATTTAAATATAATTTAATAATCATTTTTGTACTTTATCGTAATGTTTTTAATTAATGTCACAAGTGGTGAACATATGCATTAGTCATTTGATAAATTAAATATTAGTGTTTATAAAAATCAATATTTATAAAATAACAAACTTTTAATTAGTTGATTCGAAAATTATTTTTTATCACTATATTCAACATTACTTGGTGATATTTTTTTTATAAATGTACATTTTATTAAAATATTTTATTTCACTTATATAAATTAAATCTTATTTTATATCAATCTAATATTAATAGATAAGAAAAAGATGACTTATTTATTCAATTTTGAGCCAATCCTTTTGAATTTAAAGTTTCAAACTTTGGCAAGGCCTACACATACATCTTTTTAGTTTTTAGCTTGAAAATGATCATTAAGTTTTCGTCACCTTTTAAAATAGTCATCCAATGTGTTGGGATTTATGAAGCTCGATTCGATCAATTGAAATATGCCAAAAGGGGGTGAATTGGCCAAATAAAAATTTTGGGAGTAAGGAGAGAAAGGATAGACAATTTGCACAATAGTTTAGAGTGGTTCGACTTCTCAACCAAGTCTACATCCACTACCTTAGCTCCACACTAAGGATTTTCTAACAAATTCACTAATTTGTTCTTTTTTTTTTCTAGGTTCAAGAGTATCCTTTTACAACTCCCTAGTTTTCAATGGTTTAACTAGAACCAAACTGTAACACTCTAATCTAGTTTGACCCGAAGATCAATGGATTACAATGTTACACAGGACTACCGCAATAGTGACCCGAAAATTTTTCTTTTAAAACTAGTTGTAAATTTCTGAAATTTAATCATCCATGATATAATATTAAAAACATAATAAAATATGGGTTTACAATTTATGGGGAGCTCCCAAAATGCATCCGCAAAATAATACAAATATTGAGTTTCAACAAGAGTTAGGACTGAATACATAACGAGGCCTATAGTAGTACATGCCCTCTAAAGATGACTCAAGACGTACTCTGAAAGATCTCTGGAAATCTGCTCTGTTGTACTGGAATATCTTATAACAACAACTTTCCACAATCTGCCCTTAAGAACCTGTGCACGGAAACATATTCTGAACAATGAGCTTACGAGCTCAGTGTCTCACTGGAAATTGTACTATACTATATTCATTCACTAGATGAAGTGATAAGTGGCACAAGTATGAACATGCTAAATATTGTACTACTAATATGTGGCTGGCATCATGGTGCGACTGAGGGATTCTACATCTCGGAGCTCACTCACCCCTCTAGCACTATCGAAGCATCATCGGGAACTCCTGGGTGAGATACATAATTTTGCATTGGAAACGTGCACCCACTGACTTACTCCGTCTAGTCTTGGGGCATCTGGCGCCCAATCCGTTGCTGAAGTGTTGTGGCACTAACTTGGATCCACTGACTGTCATATTTCTACGAAAAGGAACTCGGGTGTCCTAATTCTTTCCCGAGCATCAAACAAGGCTAGTTTTATGTAAACCTAACTATATTCTATTTCTACTATTATGATATTAATTATTGTTCTCGCTTGAAGCCTTATTTGAGGATATACTGAAGTATTGGGGTACCTTGAGTCTAATTCCTTTAAAAATTGGCCTTTTATCCAAAACAGACTGAAAGTATCGATACTAGCCCAAGAGTATCGATACTCCTGCAAAATTTTTCATACTTTCTACAAGTATCGATACTTTTAAACATTCTGGACTGCATAGTTTCGATACTAGCCCAAGAGTATCGATACTCCTGCAAAATTTTTCATATTTTCTACAAGTATCGATACTTTTAAACATTCTGGACTGCATATTTCTATACATTTTACATCTCACTCCTTTGAGCATATAAACTTGGACCCTTTTTATAATTTCATATTCTCCTAATAACCCAACCCAACTCCAAACTTTCACATTCCCATCCAACTTTTAAATTTGGTTTTGTATCCAACCATTACACTCATACTGAAAACAATTTCTCATAAAACGTTTGATTCAAGAAAATAATTAACTTACTAAACTTCACATGAAGATTCTCGAATGAAATATATAACTTTTTCAAACATATGCTTGAATAAATTAATTTCAAATACTGATAAAACTATCAAAGAAATATAATTGTAGGATCACGTAAGACTGAAGATTGTCATCTTTCATAAAGGTGTATAAAATGAGATATATAATTTCTTAAATTTATACTGTCGGTGTCTGATAATTTTATTTTTATTTTTTTATAATATTACCTTATAATACATGACGATGTTTCACTCCTACTTGTAGAAAATTTTTATACTATTACCAGTTAATTAAATTATTTATCTATTTTTAATAATTAATTAAAATATTCAAACTATCTCGACCCAGGCATGAATAATGTACTTAACTAAAAAATTATTAAACTTCGATTCAATCCTTGAACTTAAATCCAAAATAAGGGTTCGTTTGTTTCACTGAAAAAGTTTTTCGGAAAATGTTCTCCGTAAAATAAATTACATTTTCTGAAAAATATTTTCTGGCAAACGTTTTACGATGTTTGGAAGATGCTGTTTAAACCCTTTTTCCACTAGTTGATGAATTTTTAAAAAATTATTTATTACAAATATTAAATATAGTAAATAATATTATTTATTATAAAACTAAATATTATTATTTTTAAAATATTAAAATAATTTATTTATTATTAAAATCTTATTTTTATAATTTTATTAATAAAAATATTAATATTGGTTTATTTGATTGAAATAAAAATATTATAAAATTATATTAATTATTTATTAAAGTAATAGTGTTATATTATATTTTAAAATATTAATTAGTATATTTTAAATATGTTTATTAAAATATTATTAGATTATTATATTAATATTAAATATATTAATAATTTAATAATATTATTTCTATGAAATTAATAAATGATATTTTTTTAATAATTTACTATATATTATTAAAATAAAAATATAATATCTTATATTATTATAATATAATTTATTATTTTATTATAAAATTAAAATATAAAATTATATTATTAGAAAATTAATAAATATATTTTAAATACTTTAATAATTAATATTTTTATTAAAATGATATTAAAATATTTTATTAATATTAAACTCAAAAAATAAAATTATTTTGAGTATTTATTTTTTGAAGTGAAAAATTTGTAAAATGACTTACGAAAAATCAGATCGTATGTCATTTTTTAGAAAACACAAAGAAAATTTTGTTGACCAGAAAAATATTTTACCAACCAATTTTTCTCCAATCAAACACTGAAAAATTAGAAAAACATTTTTCAAAAAACGTTTTACGTAAAACAAACAGACACTACTAAAACAAAATAACCTATAATAGCCCAACAAAACGGTACACTTTATGGGCTATTGGCCCTTTTTCTTATTGTACATAGTTTCGCCAAACGAATTAAACCCTAAATTCAAATGATAAATATGTAAAGACAAAAAAGCGCTTTTGAGTTATTTTCGCTCGCGTGTCTCCGTAAGCCTTGCGAGCGACCTTCCCAAAAAAATGGCAACCCGATCCTTGTGGCGCTCGGGCGCCAAACTAGTTGTTGCCGCCGTCACCCTCTGTACGGGAGGCGCCGCCGCATCCGTCGCCACCTCCGACGACCCCGCCTCTGCTGCCAAGCTCTGCACCACCGTCCCTGTCCGGCTTCTCCGTGACGCCACAACTGCTGCTTCCATCGTCTTCGGTACCTCAAAAAGCAATTTTCGATCTCTTTCAAAACTGTAAATTATTTTTTATTAAAATTGTTAGGTAAAGCTCAAAGTTTCGATGCTGATTGAAAAAGAACATGTTTCTTACAATGCCATGGATATTTAGCAAACAACTGAGAAATTGGGTGCTTTTATTTATTTGTTTTTCTTTTCTCTTCAAAATTTGGTAACCCTTTTGAATGATGATATTAGATTATCAATACTCATTATGGGGACTACCCGAAGGAAGTAAAGAGAGAGCAAAGATTACACATGAAGTTCATTTAAGATCGGCACGAAAGCTTCAAGAACTTTGTTTTATAAATGGAGGGATTTATATTAAGCTTGGTCAACATATTGGTCAATTGGTATGCTTTTAATAATGCTGACTATGTTTGTTGAAGAAAGTTTGCCGATGGGTTTTCGGCTTTATTAGATTCTCTTCCATTGTGGACTTGATTCGAAAATATTTTGCTCCTTTTTTTAAATATTTTTAAGAGTACCTAATTCGACAAGAGTGTGTTATTACAATGAGGGAGTCGATGTTGTAAGTGTTCGGTTTCTTCATATGATCAAGTGTGTGAAGTCTTCAAGAAGGAACTCGGAGAGACGCCTGATAAAGTAAGTATCGGTTTGAAAAAAATGGTGTTTACTAAGCTGAATTCAATTATTTTTTAATGATTATAAAGGTTGGATATCTGTTTTTTCCAATATAATAAGTGCTATGGATGTTTCTTTTTACATGTACAACTAGAAGCTATACTTGTTCATTTAGACTAGCTTTTCATGTGCAGGTTTTCGATGAATTTGATCCAGAACCGATAGCAAGTGCCTCCCTTGCACAAGTTCATGTTGCTCGTACACATGATGGTCAAAAAGTTGATGTGAAGGTTTCACTCTTTGTTACTTTTACCTAGGAAAATTTTCGATTTGACTTTTGTACATGTAGGACTTGGGTGTTTCTTGTTAGGGTTTACGTTCCATGCCTGAATCATTTTCCGTGAAACTCAGGTTCAACACACTCACATGATAGATACTGCGGCTGCAGATCAAGCGACTGTGGAATTTCTTGTCAACACTCTACATTGGTTATTCCCGTCTTTTGATTATAGGTACTGTTTCTTAGTTATGTTCTTTGGACTTTGGTGTGAGTGTTGGATACGGGTGTATGTCTGACACGGTCATGTTCAATTTTTTCTATGTTTTTCATGTATTTGGAGGGTTTTTAGAGGATCATATCTCTGTACTTATGTTCAAATATGCGTTGGGAACAAGTACTACATATGGGTACTTCTACAAAAGCAAAGAGTCGGAGAAACATGGTTTCTTGGCATGACCATAGTTTTTTTTACTCACGCGTGCATTATCCGACATATTCTTATGGGTCTATGTGGTTTCAAATGGTGAGGATTGATTCTTTTCAAAAAAAAAAATGGTGAGGATTGATGAATTTCTTGTCTTGTGCATGCAGATTTTTGGTTGCTGAAGTTCGAGAAAGTTTACCCAAGGCAAGTTACTTTGATGACCTTCTCTTTGATTTTTTCCAGGAATTCCTTTATCATGATATCCTTAAAAATTCTATAAATGTATTATTCTAATAAATCTATATGTATTATTAGACAATTGATTTTCTTGTGGCATGGTATTCTTGTGCTTTATTTTCTGGATTTATACCTACAAATGCATCCTTGCATGCCAAAGGTGGATATGACGATATGTATAATTGTCTCTTGCTCGGATACTTATATGTTCATTTTCCCTTTATGTGCTTAGCATTCTTTCCATCCTAGGTGATATATCATTTGATTTTGGTTCTTACCTTTCGACTTCAGGAGCTAGACTTTTTGATAGAGGCAAAGAACAGCGTTAAATGTTTGGAAAATTTCCGTAAGATGTCTCCTCATATTGCGGATTATGTTTATGCTCCGGAGGTATTTTGGTCATTAAGTACCTCAAAGCTGTTAACAATGGAATTCATGGATGGTGCACAAGTGAATGATGTGAATTCCATTCGAAGACATGGAATGCAGCCCAGTGAATTTTCAAGATTAGTAAGTTCTTGGCTAATTATTGCGAATAACGTCTACCCCGTGCTTTTCTTCTTATTAACAATGTTGGGAAAATCATTTGTGTGTTTTGGGAATGAGACTTATATATATATATATGGGTTAGAATACACTTACATAGAGTTTTACACCTTTTTAGGACAGTTGGATTGAGAGAAATCAAAGGCTGAGATTAACTCTCTTTTTTTCCCAGTGAATATCTTCTCATTTCCTACTGTTAATCTCAACCTTTGATTTCTCTCATCCGATGGTCCTAAAAAGGAGTAAAACTCTTAGTTTTACACTAGGTGTAGACGGATCCTGCCCCTATATATATATTGATTACAATTATATGATCGCTGTTAATATGTACACGAAACTAATCCTGAATGATATTTGATACGATTCTATGCAGGTTAGTCAAACTTTTGCTGAGATGATGTTTAAACATGGATTTGTTCACTGTGATCCACATGCTGCTAATCTATTAGTTCGTCCATTACCTTCCAGTAAAAGGAGCATTTTTGGTGAGGGTTTCTTTTTATGTTGAAATCATTTGAGAATTTCTCCAATCATGCTTAGCTACTTGCAATTTTGGAATATTTACAATTCGGTCACTGCTATTAGTGATGTCATTTTTAGAGCTTCAGTCGTACAAACTTCGAGTGAATGAATATCTTGGGGAACATGTGATTGATTCATAAGTGGAAAATGGTTCAAGTGTTCCAACTTCAAAATAAATTGACGAAAAACCTTCTTTTCCAGTTTATCCCCTTCTAGGGACTCTATTTTGTAGTCATTAAAATTCCAAGTTCATCTGATGCACTTCTTTTTGGATCCCTGTGTGCTTGATTGTGAAGTTCAGTTACTTCTCCCAATACGACAGACAGTCGGGTTACTGATGTTTTATCCTTCTGTATACAGGCAAGAAAAAACCACAATTAATATTACTAGATCATGGTCTTTATAAAGAACTCGACTTCTCCACTAGATTCAGCTATGCTTCTCTTTGGAGGGTAGGCCACTGTTCTCCTGAAAAGTTTGAATTAATTTCTTGACGCTTTTTTGGTTTTTACTCACATTACACCGATGCATCATTTTTTTTGTCAAGTATGTACATGTATCTGATCCATAAATGAACATGGGTTCGAGGATATGATCATCGAAAGATCCTTCAAATGCATATAATGAAAAGATAAACATACCTGTGTTGAACATATGCTCCTATCGAGACCCCCAAGTTGGATAACATAGGTTGATATGTCAATTCATGCTTTGACTTACATTGCAGGCATTGGTATTTTCTGATGCTAATGGAATAAAGGAACATAGCATGAAACTGGGCGCTGGAGAGGACCTGTATGTGCTATTTGCAGGGATCGTAACATGAGGCCCTGGAATCGGGTCATTGACCCCCATGGATCATTTGGTCATAAAAGACACCGACTGTTCCGAACTACAGGTGACTGATTTTATACTTTTTGATGTTTTATGGATGCCAAAAATGGTTTCTCCCTCCCGAATAAGAATTGAATTCCATCGAAGCTCGGTTTTTGTGTTTAGAGATTATGTTTTGCTATACAAGTTTGAACATCGGATTGTTTTTAATTGATCGGCTCTCACTTGTTGCTTGGCCTTGTCTATTTTCTCCTGCAGATGTATGCATCTCAATATTTCCCACAAATATCCGAACTTCTCAGACGACTGCCCCGTGTTATTCTATTGATGTTGAAGACAAACGATTGCTTAAGAGCAGTCAATAACTCTCTGGTATTCTCTACCTTTCTACACTTGATTTCTCTGTGTTCTTTGTTTCAATGTTACTTTGACTCCGTTGTTGGTCCGGGGTACGGGATATATCTTCATAGTTATGTTTCAATACATGTCGGACTCCATGATAAGGAGCTTATTGCTTGAGCACTTCACCAAACTTTTGAATTTTGGTTCATTCACTAAATTGTCTTTCGCTGCTGCTTAACAGTTGCAAGGTTCTTCTCTGGATACGTTTTTGATAATCGGAAAAGTTTCTTCTGGAGCTGTTGCCGAGGCAAAGATGACGCAGACGAAATCATTATTTTGCCGGATTAATATCTGGCTTGAGGAATTCCTTTTCGAAGCTCGCCTTTTAGCATAACAAATAGCCTTGTGGCTTTTACAAGCCCGGAAAGCACGGACTTGAACACCGATTCGATTCGGAAAGCAGTCTCTCGACCACCTCGGTGCAGGCTGTTCGAGTTAGGATTGGCACACATATTGATTCTTTATCACTTAACGAAAGGAACAAAATTCATGGAATTTTTCGTTCATGTTTTCTTAAAAGACCACAATTATTTTTGTAAAACCCCCATTCAAGTGGGCGATTGATGAACCGTTGACTGTAAGAAAAATATTTTCTGCAAAGAGAAGAAAAACTAGATTAATTTCAATGATAAAACTGAAGAATGTAAAAAATGGTTGTCCCTTGTACCCATATGTAATGGGATAAGGGAGAGGTAAGATAGTAGACTGTCCTTAACATCAGGTTGAGAGCAGCTTCTGTAGAAGACCTTTAAATTATGAAATGCCCTTCGTGGGGTTTAATCTCACGACCTCAAGGTTAAAAACCTTGTAATCTACCAATTGAACTGGATAGTAAACTGAAGAATATGATTAAGCAAATTGTCTCAGTTTGTATTTGTTTATTACTGGTCGTTGACAACTGATTTATGATGTTTTTATTTATATATGAGTTTGTTAATTAACTTTTCTTTTCGTATAAGAATGATGGATGGTTTTATTTGTTCTCATAATATATATTTTCTATATTTTCATATAGTACACCTTTTCTCAAGCCTGAGTTTGATGTTACTTGTTCTATTATTGTTTATTTGATCTACTCTTTGGATTCTTAAATTAGTTCTTTATCATTGATACATATTCACATTCTTTAAAGATAGATCCTGATTGGGTTATGTTAAGGTTAATTTATCTATATTATTGTTACATTCATTTAGTATTAGTTTAGTTATTTCTTCTCTGATATAATGGTTATTTGTTCCTACAAATCTTTGATTGAGTTTATGCACTTTGATGGATTTAGATTAAATAATCAGCTAATGTGAGTTACTTTATTCTTATCTTATAAATTATTCTTATAATTTTATTGTATTTACTTTTTATTTAATAAAACTAATCGTTATTATTACTTTTTATAATTTAGTTTTTATTTTAAAAAAACTAATGTGGTGAAAAAGAAATGTTTTTGTTAGAAGATATGGATATGTATATAGGATGAGTACATTATCAATAATTTAAAAAATTATATATGGATATTATTTCGTACCATCACCAAATTGTTTTAAAAAACTAGATAATAATAATAATAGTAAATGATAAAATTATCGATTAAAAAACTAGATAATATTATTTCGTACATTATCAATAATTTTACTAGATCAAGCCTGAATTTTTAATCATGAAAATTACTCAGATAGAGCGTTTAATTTCCCTCCTCTTGTCCTCAATTTTCCCTCTCATATTCCCAAACAGGTTCAAAACCCCATAAATAAGCTTTAACCATCGCACGATTTTCTTTCCCGCTATCCCTTCAGAAATCCAGAACAAAAAGAGCGATTTGGAAAATAAAGAAAAGATGGCAAATTACTACAATATCGATGATATTCTTGCAGAGGAAGAGGTTGATTCTACACTTCCACCGCTCTTTTTCGCTTACTTTTAATTTCTCAATTTCCTAATCGAAAATTTTCAAATCGTTTTTTTTGGTAATTGTAAATTTCAGTTTGTTCCAGTTGTTTTCCATAAAGCGGCAAATGGAGTTATAATCGATCCCAGTTCCGAGACAAACTCCGTAAGTCCCCCCCCTCCCAAAAAAAATCCCATTTTTAAGGCGAAAATTTGGAAAAAAGAAAGGTTAATTTTCTGATGCTTGGTTCTTAGGTCGAACAAGGAGCAAAAGTGGAGCTACCATTGTGGCTTGCTCAAGAATTATACTTAAGGCAAGCCATATCCATAAGCGTCCCCGCCTGTTTCAATCAAAGGTATTCCCCCTCCCCCTAAATCGCTCTCACTTTTTCCATATTAGGTAATTTGGCTGAATCCCGATATTATTGATGTATGTTTATGTCGGTTAGACTGTCAAATCTTGATACATTGATAGTCCAGGGAGATGTCTGAATCCCGATATTATTGATGTATGTTTATGGCGGTGCAACTGTTCTATACATTGATGTTCCTGTGAGATGTTTGAATCCGGATATCATTGATGTATGTTTATGTCGGCGCAAGTATCGAATCTCGGTACATTGATGTTCCATTGAGATATCTGAATCCCAGATCTTAATGTTTTATCAATCTGAATTTGAATCAAGGAGGTACTTTTGCCAAAATCAGTTATGTCGTACTGGGTTTGGTAGTAACCTATAGGTGTTTGATTTTATTTATGATTGAATGTTGTTTGAATTTATTTGAAGCAGTAAATAGTTATTAATTCTCACGTATCCATTCCTATATGCAATGCAAGAATGATGATTAACTTATTTGAGACAGCAGGCTGATGATTGATTTATATGCTTGTAAAGTTGTCTTTTTGTGTTGTTTAATGATGTTTCTTTTATATGCTCAGAACGCGTTTGGAAATCCAAGCTGATGCAGCTTGTGTGGATCTTAAATCTCGGTCTCCATATTTTTACGAGTTTGGATGCAAGATAGCACCACTGTAAGTCTCTTTTTCAATCCTTAATTCCTTATAGTGTCTTTTACAATCTATGTTACTGGGATTCAAGTGTGTATATAGGACCTATCTGGCATAGGTGCTGTTAGAATTTTTTTTCACGAATTTGGAGATTCGTTGGAAAATGAATGACTTAATGGTTGATATCTCAGAAGATCCTTGATGTCAATCAAAGTGATTTCTCGGGGAGTTGAGGGGTGCTCACATGCCCTTCTAAAAGATGGTCCATTTGGTGGACTTCATAGGCTGACTTGTCCTTTGTTTCTTAGATGTGAGTGTCGAAATGGGTATGGTTAGTGTTTTTCCAAGTATTTGAAGGATCTAGGCTATATCCTCATATTCATGTATTGGACCACGAGTGTGATGCTCGAGTACTTAAAAAAGTGGAGAGTTTTAACAAGATAGGATTTGTGCTCCTAGTCCATCCCTTGGCTGTCCAGCTAGTAGGTCTTATAAGTACAGAGGGTTTAAGAAAATTGTTTTAAATGGGTATCTAAAGTCTTTAAAGGATTATATTTTTCTATCTATGTCTTAATATGTGTAGGATATAGTTGTTAGATAGAAGTGGTTTGACAAAAATGAAAAATTGAAATCATATAACGAAGTGAATTCTTGGTCACTAATTTCCGTTTTCATATGATAGGGTTGGTGATAAAACCATCGAAATCTTGCTCTTATCGGCATTCAAGATCAGATATAAGGAGATCCTAACCAAGGCATATACTGCAGTATTCACAACAAGTTCCAAGTTCTTGACCCTTCTTACAAAAGAAGAAACAAATCGTGAGAATCCTTTTTCTCTATATAAATATTATTTCTTTCATTGTTATGCTTCCTCTATGTATACATATTACACATTCGAACTTGAGTCTGAGTATCGGGAAACTCGTATAGCAGACACTAGTGTCTGATGCGTGGTATTTCGAGAGAGATGATGAATCGAAGCAGCGTAGCATTTATGTTTTTGTTCGATCTTTGCAGTGTACGAAGCAGCCCAAGCTTCGATGGCAGCCTTTAAGAAGTGGCGGATGGGTGGCCCCAGGCTTCAAAGAGCTTCAGTTTTTGGTAGGAAGAGGAAGCCATTTGATTAAGCTGATATTCTAGCAGCAAGATGCATCCCATGAAAGTAACCTATCTACTTTAGTTTTGGCTATAGCTAATATTGATGAACAATGTTGTACACATGTATATCAATATGATGTTTGGTTCGGATGGTCTGGCATATGTCAACTGAATTCGAAACACAAAATTATTAGAATTTTAAGTTTAATTTGATCAACCACATATGATAGTTGAATTGAGTTCAGATTTGTTTAATTAGATCAAAAAACATTGAATGCTTTTTTTTGAGATTTTTTTTAATATGATTGATTCTTTCAGGTTACCCATATTAAATATGAATTGACATTTAACACCTAAAATGACATGTAGGCCGATAGAAAGGATTTGATTGATGTAGTACTAACATTTTTTGTGCTCAATCAAAATATTCTGAAGTGTTAGGATTGATTTAAAATTTGAACAATTTGTAGTGATGTTTGGTGGAATTAATCTTTTTAAAAAAATTATAAAGCAAATTTTCGCGATATTTCTAACGGGAGATATTTTGGTACAGAAAAGTGGACCTTTTGGAAGTACGCCTTAAGATATTTATGATGTGCTTTATAACCATTCTCAAATGTGGCGCGTGGTTTTATCTTCATTTGATAATTCATATTACTTCTGCATCAAATCTGCTGTACTTTTAAACGTCGAACAACATATATAAGTACATTAAACTATAATATACATACTTAAATGTAATACATTAATCTTATTTATATTCGATACTTAAATATGTCTAAATTTATACTTTGCTAACAGAGCCAAAATATCGCAAAATATCATAGGTGTAAAATTGAATGCGTTTATAATAGTGTGTTTAAAATTATTTTAATTTAAATTATTTTTCGAGTAAATAAAATAATATTTTAGTAAGAGTTTTCATTTTTATAATTCATGTATGAAAAGTTATGTTTTGGTCCGTGATATTAATTTGAATTTATGATTATTGTGTTTTTAATATTTTTTTACTAATAATGATGTTCTTAAAAGTTTTTAGTTCGATCAGTTGTGTTTGTAAGGTATTTGTTCTTTGTCAATTGATAATTTTTTTTGAATATATACTACATTTTAATTACTTCAGATTATTAAAAAACATATCATATAATTTTTTTGAAAATTCAATTATAATTTTAAAAATAAAAAATCTAAAGAATATATAATAAAAACTCTAAATTTGTATCATAATTCACAAATGAAATAAAGTTCAATTTATTGCATAGTTTGGTATCCCGATATCTAACGCACGCCAAAGATAGGAAAGTTAATATTTTTACCGTAAAAAGAAATATATGTCTTTGACACTCGCTTTGGTCGCGCGTGAAGTATAACTTTTCTTTCTCCCAAGCTCCACCGCTTTTTCCAATCCTTGAAGAAAACTTGTAAACCTCAAAAAACTCCCCCACCCTTCATCTTCACAACGACACAGCTTGAGACCCCAATAAATAGCCTGAAATCGCCATTTTATAACATTCAAAACACCAAAACAAGCTCTTTTTGTGCAAGAACCTCAAACGAATAAAAAACCCATGGCAAATAAACCAACAAACAAGGGTAACACCAACAAGAAGCTAAAGCACCAAGCGAACCAAGATTCAGAGGGAGCAAATGGAGACAACCCTGAAATTTGGGCAACATTCGATCATAGTTTCAAGCAGGTCCAATCGGTTTTGGACAGGAACCGTGTGTTGATCCAACAGGTCAACGACAATCATCAGTCGAGGATCCACGACAACATGGTCAAAAACGTTGCACTCATCCAAGAACTCAATGGGAACATCTCCAAGGTTGTTTCGCTTTACTCCGATTTTTCTTCAAATTTCTCCACTGTGTTTAATAGGCATGTTGATGATGGTGAGGGACCCAAGAATGGTGATTGATTTCATGAGACGAGGAATAAATTTTGAATGAGCCAAAAAATATCTTTAATTTTTGTTGTTTTCTTAGATGTTTACCATGTTTTCTGTTGCTTGTGTTTTGAGTTGATGATCTATGGGAGTACTTGTTGTCATGTTTGAAACATGTTTGAGATAATGTAGGATTTTGTGGTCTCCTATTTGGAATGAATGATTTACTGTTTTAGGATATTGGAAAAGATAGACTAAAGCACACCGACATATCAAATGGAACTTAATCTTATCGATTTAGAGCCCAAAAGTACATCCGTCCCGTAATCATATGGTATCGATTTAGAACCATTTTTTTTACCTTTGAGATGATGAGTGAACTCGTGAGCAACAAGAAAGTTATTAGAGATTATTCGACCCGGAATGAAAGTACACTGATTAATGGCAATACACTTGGACATAAACGGCTTGAGACGATTGACAATTACTTTTGACACAATTTTATAAACTACCGTGCAAAGACTAATATATCTAAAGTTTCTCATAGTTTTTGGATTAGTAGTTTTCGGAATAAGGACAATGACAGTTTTGTTGATCGATGCAAAATTAGTAAGACCATTAAGAAAGTCCAGGCAAATAGAGATTAGATCAAAACCTATAATATTCCATAAAGAACGATAAAAGGAACCGGATAGGCCATCAACACCTAGTGCTTTATTAGGGTTCATTTGGGAGAAGGCAAGAAGAACTTCCTCAGCAGTGAACTTCCGCAAAAGCCTTGCGTTGTCTTCTGTTGAGACACGTCTCTCCACGGTGTTGAGAATTATATTAGATGGTTCCAACCTTGAAGATTTGAAGAGAGAGGTGAAATAATCACATGCACACCAAAGATCTCCAATGATCCACCCACCGCCCCTCATTTTCTCCAACCTCTCAATTCCGTTCTTTTACCTTCTACCATTAGCCCTGGCGTGAAAAAAGGAAGTATTTCTATCCCCGTCCTTGAGCCAAGCCACTTTGGATCTTTGCATCCAATAAGTCTCGTCTTTTTCCATTAAACCTTTCAGATCTTTTTTAGCTTGCAGAAGCCTTTTCCACCGAATGATCTGAAATCCGTTCCGAATTATCTTTTTTAGCTTTCTTTCCTCCCTTTTTGCCTTAAGAGTGACGTTCTTTCTGCCAAAAGGCCAATCTCTCTCCGATTGCCAAAATTTGTTAGCAAGGCATCATTACGCAAATATTTCATGTTATAGCCAATTTGCTGGCCCAACTTTAATCTTTTTATGAACATATTCCATCAATTGGGATGCTTTTTTTGACATCAACTTCATGAATGATTATTAATTTTCTCCTGAAAGTTTTTATACATGTAATTCACTTTTTATCATACCAAATTCCTAGCTTTATTCTGGGTTAAAACTTTTGTAAAGCTGTAAACCTCTGTTTAAATTACTGCTATCTATTTATCTGTAGGTGGGGAGTTTGTTCTTTATTTATTGCCTCTTCCTCTTTTAGTTAGCTTGTATGGTAGACGGTGTTTTCATCCATAGGCTTCTTGTTTTTTGAATTCGAAGAAGAAGAAGAAGCCAAAGGGTCGGTCAAATATGTTGAATCAACTGGTATAACGTGCGATGTCAGCTGTGATAACGGCTATTAACGACGAGTGATTGATTTGTAATAAATCGATAATGTTAGTGACCGATTTGTTACTTTTGAAACTTTGGTAGAGAAAATAAAAACTTACTCAAACATCAGGAACCCCTTGTATAGTTTAACCAAATTTTATTGTTTTAAAAAAATTTAAATAATTATTTTTAAAAATCAACTCATGAGTAACTAACATAGTACCATTCAGTCGTCCGAGCCATTTGACTCCCACGTTCGTCCTTAATTTTCTCTAATCACATCTGCAATTCTTTGAAACCCCACTGAGGCTAGTTAGTTATATGGTCTTATTATATTAAAACCCTAAAATTGTTTTTTTGAAAAATAACCCCTAAACAAATTTGTTAGAAAATTACCCTCAAACTCATGTATGATGATCTCACGTTCCGTAAAAAACGAGGTTAGATCTTGTGTTTTACGAAAAATTAGTTTCATGCATTTATTATTGTTTTTATCTAATAATAAATAACTTTGTATGAAAAAATCGATGGAAATCACGCCTTATAAAACGCGATGTAATCTTACATGGACACTTTAAAAGGTATTTTTTAACAAATCTGCTAAGGGAGTTACTATTAAAAAAATAATTTATGGAGTTATATATATATATATATTATTAATGCCCATTATTCTCTGTGTTAAAAAAAATATTATATGATCATGATATAACATGACACTTCATTTTATCACTATTGTTGATAAAATATTGTTGACATAATATTATTTCTTTATTTATATTAAATGAATTTTATAATATTTTAAATATTCATGAAGATAATAATTAAATTGAACATAAGGTTGATTTTGGAGTTCAAATCATGAAGCCTAAGGTACTTAAGGACTATTGATATAATTTGACTACTTTTTACTTGCAAAAATATAAAAAAAGATTGTTCGTTATCGAACAATTAAACGAACGTAGCAGCCCAAGCTTCGATGGCAGCCTTTAAGAAGTGGCGGATGGGTGGCCCCAGGCTTCAAAGAGCTTCAGTTTTTGGTAGGAAGAGGAAGCCATTTGATTAAGCTGATTCTAGCAGCAAGATGCATCCCATGAAAGTAACCTATCTACTTAGTTTGGCTATAGCTAATATTGATGAACAATGTTGTACACATGTATATCAATATGATGTTTGGTTCGGATGGTCTGGCATATGTCAACTGAATTCGAAACACAAAATTTAGAATTTTAAGTTTAATTTGATCAACCACATATGATAGTTGAATTGAGTTCAGATTTGTTTAATTAGATCAAAAAACATTGAATGCTTTTTTTTGAGATTTTTTTAATATGATTGATTCTTTCAGGTTACCCATATAAATATGAATTGACATTTAACACCTAAAATGACATGTAGGCCGATAGAAAGGATTTGATTGATGTAGTACTAACTTTTTTGTGCTCAATCAAATATTCTGAAGTGTTAGGATTGATTTAAAATTTGAACAATTTGTAGTGATGTTTGGTGGAATTAATCTTTTTAAAAAAATTATAAAGCAAATTTTCGCGATATTTCTAACGGG